TACGTGTCTTTCTAAACCAACTTGTCGGTATTTATTACCAAGGTTTATACCAGCTTTAAGAAGAGACTGGACAAATATATGAGTGGGAGGGGCTGGGTTTGATTGGTGTTAAGGGGTACGGGAGTTATTTCTTGAGTAGCTTTAGGTAGATGTCGTTTTGATAAGGACCTGCCTCGTATGGGCCAGTAGGCCTTCTGCAGTGTTCCTACATTCTTATGTTCTTATGTTCTTATGTTATCCTGGGTGGCTAACCCTCCAGGGTTAAAGATCCGAACGAAATCTTATCTTATCTTGTCTTATCTTATTTAGGTCATTCCGTGTGATAATTGGTGAAAACCTCCTGTGATTGACGTCCAATTTTCAATCTTCGTGTGTCCCTCTTAGAAGAAGATTGGTATTGTTAATGGAGGGTCAGGGTACCATCCCTCCACGTACCATCCCTCCACTTTTTATCTAGAATTGGTCTAGTATTTATTTTACCTGGAGGGCATTCCGGGGATCAACGTGCCCGCGGCCTCGTACATGACCAGGCCTCCTGGTGGATCATGGCCTGATCAACGAGGCTGTTATTGTTTTCTTGATGCTGATGAAGGTCTCTTGAAACGAGGAACTTGGTTGATCATCCCATTCCTTAGTACCAAACTGAATGACTCACATTCCACAGACGTTGAATAATAATAATAATAATAATAATAATTATTATTATTATTATTATTATTATTATTATTATTATAAATCTTTATTTTTACAAGCTGACATCAGTGACATGTTACTAGTACACAGAAAGCCGCTTGTTATGCAGAGCATTTCGGGTAAATTAAATCAATTTTGTTCCCAGGATGCGACCCACACCAGTCGACTAACACCCAGGTACCTATTTTAGTGATAGGTGAACATGGACAGTAGGTGTCCTAAGAAAACACGTCCTAATGTTTCCACCCGAACCGGGGATCGACCCCTGGACGTCAGTGTGTGAGCTGAGTGCTCTAATAATTCGAACTACGGGCGTCCCTGTAATAATTGTTGATGTGTTGTTCCTTAATGGAAGCTTTACCATGGTTTCTGGCTGTGTAAGTTTTAAATTGTAAGTTTTAAATTGTAAGTTTTAAATTGTAAGTTTTAAATTGTAAGTTTTAAATTGTAAGTTTTAAATTGTAAGTTTTAAATTGTAAGTTTTAAATTGTAAGTTTTAAATTGTAAGTTTTAAATTGTAAGTTTTAAATTGTAAGTGTTAAATTGTAAGTGTTAAATTGTAAGTTTTAAATTGTAAGTTTTAAATTGTAAGTGTTAAATTGTAAGTGTTAAATTGTAAGTGTTAAATTGTAAGTTTTAAATTGTAAGTTTTAATAAAGCGGTTTCCTTGAAATAACTAAAGAATTCCTATTCTGCTCAGAAATAAATTACAGTGTTAGACTTTGTTGTTATCTTCGGTTAAATTATCTAGTTTACCTGCATAATTATCCGAACCTTGAACGCTGATGTATGTTACTCAACAAAAAAGTTTGGATTTATTTAGACCTGTTTTCGTCCCAGTTTGTCATTTTTCAAAGAAGAAACTGGAAAAACATGAAATACTGATTTTCATGCGATAATTTCTGTGTTCTTCGTGTTATTACTTTCACCTTTCAACGCTGATTGCTTGATAATTTATATTTAGATTGGCTTCAAACTTAATGTTCTGGTAAATTTTCAGATATTGTTATTTCTGAGATAAGAAGAGAATGTCTTATTTTGGCTTCAAAACTGTTGATATTTCTTAGTGGAAGCTTTCAATTATTTTATAGCTATATATCTCATAATTTTCCATTTTTATTGATACGGTGGGGATATCAGTGTCCAGGTAATGACGTGTGAATACCAAATCTAATTTGCTTCAAATGCACCTAATTCTTAGCTGCATTATAAAACTTAAGGGTCATCAGTCCTGTGGTAAGGGATGTGTGGAGGTTGGAACATGTGATGATTACGAATGAGTGAGGGTTATGGGTGTGTGAGTGTAGGGCTTAGTGAAGGATGGGGTTAGTGCAAGACTAACACATAAATCAAAGTTAGTGCAATAGGTTAGTTCCGTTAAACAAAATGCGTCAAATGCGGGACGTTCATTGAGGTCGCAGGGAGTGAATCCTGTGTGCCGCTGATAGACAAGGTAATATAGTAAGATTTGGTTTACTGACAGTGCGACCTGAGAGTCGTCTTAGAGCATTGCTGGTGTTTTCTCCATGTGGTATCTGAGAGTGGCTTGCATGTGTCCGATATGCAATTGTGCCAGTGCAATTACTGGGAAGAATCCGGAACGTGATTTAATAGAACATCATTTGTTCTGGTAGAACGAAGTTCACCATTGATGTCAGAGGGCGGAGAGGTGTTGAGAGAGTGCTGGAAAAAACATAGAGAACGAAATACCCCTGTAGGATATACCCATGTAAAACACCCCTAAGGTAAATATCCCTGTGGAAAACACCCCCTTTGGGAAATACCCTTGTGGGAATCTAGAGGTCATGCATAGCTGATGGAGCAACTCGGTGTCCATTCACTGGCCTGAGCATCAGCGTGTCCTGGGACACAGCAGTAAACGACTTCTTTGCATCTACTATTAAACCTTTTATCGGGCAAGGCATCATATTTGAGTAACAACAACAAATAAGGATATAAAGAACAATGGGTGAGACAAATCGATTTTCTGGAAACCTTATAACGCACTGTTGCAGTCTGAAACAACTACGGATGACGAGGTGGGCATTGTGGTATGTATACAACAGCAGTGAAAATAATATATAACTCTGCTGTGAAAACACTAGCAGAGTCTAATAAATGATCTCGGATTACTCTTTAAGGAAAAACAGCTGCTTGCCCGACACCATCAGGAGATTTACAACCATGAAGGTACACTGTAATAGCTTGAGAATATGAAACCACGGAATGGACGGGAATTGAACACCAAGCCAGTGCAAAAGCCACTCGGCTTGGAGGTTCAGAACTCACTTGCCATGGATGCAATCCCCGCCCGTTCCCTGGTTTGTTTGCAATCGTGTTATTAATATTTCGTGAGTTCTGAGAATGAGATTGGAAGTGCTTAAGAAAGAGTGAGGGTAAAATTGCAGTAGGAACGTAAGCGTGCGCACACAGAAGTGGGAAAGAGCAAATATGAATTGCCATTCCTTCCCATGAAGGAATGGAAAAGTTGGATGCAGGGTGAACATAAAATGCAGGTGAATAAAGGGAAGCCATTGCGAAGAGAAAGAGGCGTAGTAAAAGGGGGAAGAGGCGACAGTCTAATAAATTACCCTTGGTAACTTGACAGGAAGTATGTTAGTATGGCTAATTTATTATTTAAATTAACTTTACTAATATCCGTTAGGAATTTTAATACGTATTTTTCTGATTTTCCTGTGAAACCTTTTATTCTCATTTCAAGGAGTGTTACTCCATGACCGCATTGGCCAGATGACTTAACAAAATCCGTGTATTGTCTAACTTAGGCAAACCTGAGCTTACTTAACCTTTTTTTAAAGCTCACAAATGCTCATCTGGGCTCACCCACGTTCAGACACATACATCGGGTTACCTAGACATGAAAAGGCTGACCTGGGATTACAGAAGTTTATAAATTGTTTCAGTGGAGCAACTGAGATTAGAGATTCGCCTGGGCTCTCACAGGATTACCTGGAGACACACAGGCTCATGTGAGCTCACATCTGATTGCTTGAGCTCACATAGTTACTTTGTACTCACGAAGGAATATTTGAGCTTACATAGGTGTACATGAGCTCTCAATGACAGAGATGAGCCTCCATGGGTCTGCCTGAACTCAAATATAAGCTAATATGAGATTACAAAGGGTCTTCATAATTCACATAGGTTCCTCTAAGCTGACACCTAAGCTTACATAAGCTTACTTTATTTCACATAGGCATTTCTGAATTAACATTACTTAATCTAAAATTACACAGGCTTAATAAGGATCACACAGGATTGTTGGAACTCGCTACTTCCGTTTTACAACACTTACAATGGGAGACAGAGTAGGTCTTCCTTACACATTTCATTATATCAACGTAATACTCGTATATTCTAGTCGCGGATGTCAGCCAGACATTACAAAGTTTCGTAACTCAACTAGTGTCCGGCCACGCCTCGGTACCCATCATTAGGTTATAAGTAAATTAAATCAGAGAACGGGTGGGGTTTAAACCAGTGGCAAGTGACAGCAGTGAGAATTATATATAACTCTGCTGTGAAAATACTGGCCAGTGTCATGGGTTCAAGCCCCACCCGTTCTGTGATTTGTTTTCAGTCGTGTTATTAGGATTCCGTGAGTGATGAGGCTATAGGTACTCCCCAGTATAAACACAATATGGGTAGAATAAACACTAGATGTGGTTAACTTTATAATTTAGACACACGATTATATTATAATGTACATATACCCAAACACACTGCAGGACATAACTCACTCATCACCCCACAAGTACAAATGTGATTCTGGTAACAACTATGACAAAAATGAATAGTCATAGAGAAACACAGCTTCTCTCTAATGTTTCGTCTGTCTCTCCCGTCGTCTTCCATCCCGGTTGTTCGTACACCATTACCACGAACTATACGTTGTTCACTTTACGGAAAAATCTACTGTAAACTTTTATTACCTCCAAATCGCATTATAATAACCGACACTTTTTATCATCCCATTTTATATTTTGATATTTTATGCACATTTTTTTATAATCACCGAAATCGTTAATTATATTCACAAATATAAAACTACTGATAAACATACACAAAGCTAAAATACGTTCATATACAATATATATATATATATATATATATATATATATATATATATATATATTATATATATATATAATATATATATATATTTGTTCTTTTCACATCTATATGTTAAAATATATGAATTACATATACGTGACTGAGTACTGAAAACTGATGACTGATAACTTGGCTGTTAGAATTAGCTCGCCTACTGTGTTTCCCTGCTGCAGGTGTGGTGTACCGGGCGTGGAGCACCGATGAAGACTTGGGGCTCACTTGCCCCCTGGGGCCAGGTGACTCAGCCCGCTGCCCCTGCGCCTCCGTCACCTACCAGCTGTTCGCACCACCAGGTGACCACCACTTTCTTCTCGACCCTGTCTCTGGCATCCTCACCAGAAACACCAACACTTCCCTCCAGCCGGGCACTGCCTACACTTACAAGTTGATGGTTCAAGGTGAGTTACTGGGCGTCACACACCTGCATCGCCTATACCTGCAAAAGTGGTGGTTCCAGGTGAGTTATCGTGCATCATATACCTGCATTACCTACACCTGAAAGTTGATGGTGCAGACTGAGTTACTGAGCATCTCACACCTGAGCCACCTAACCCGCCTGCATCTACAAGCTGATTATGTAAGTTGGTGCTCATCACATCCCTGGTACCAGCTGCACCTGGATGGTAAGTAATTGTACGCTGTAGAGAGGGAAAATACATATGAGATGACCGTAATGCTTTTGAGGTTTTGAGGTTAGGTCTGGGAGGTGCTCCAGGAAAGCTGCAACTGGGAGGTCGTGTCTGTGAGGTTTCGTCTGGGAGGAAATGTCTGACGTCTCGTCTGGGAGGTTTTGTCTGAGGTTCTGTCCGTGAGGTTCTCTACCCCTCCATGCCCAAAGAGCTCCACCTCTTTGATTTACATATTCAGGTCCAAGCTGTTAGTTCCTAAAAGGTTCTAGTTCTTGTACTCTTTCCGTTCGAGTCAAAACTCCAGAACCCTAAGGGAAAACATTACTAAGCTTAATTCTTAGCTTTTGGATCCCACCATTCAAGTTATACTCTCTTGGGCCCCAACTTTTAGTGTAAGTTAAGATTTGTTTGGATTTTTTTTCCTCTTCTTGTTGTGGCGAAGAGGTTATTGGTCTGAGGAATTGGACCCTTCGGTTTTCTTCCTCCGACCAAACCTAATTACCCCCCCTAGTCCTCCCTTTCCCTGTCCCATCCTCCTAATCCCTCCTTTCCTATTCCTCCTCCTCTCCCCAGTCCTCCCCTTCCTCTTTCCTGTTTTCAGCCTTTGGGTTCTTACTTCAGGAATTCTAGTTCCTAGGATGGGGAAAGGTATCGTGGTCCATCCCATTCCGTTGTGGTCCTTAGTGGCAGTGTAGTTTGCCGTAGAATCTGGATCGACTGGAGAACCCGATCCCTCTTTGGCCTACCAGGGAGAGGCTTCAGTTATCTTTCAGGTGATGTATGTATCTCTGGCGGGTGCCTGTTGGATCCCAAGAGGTGGTGGCCGAAGGAGGTATGTTTTGTGGTGGGTTTCCGACTGCCCTCTCTTTTGTCCACCGAGGCGTCTTGATAGATGTGAGGTTGCTATCCCGGATTGCTGGTTTACATGGCATGAAGGGTAGGGTATGGCATGGGTTCCATGCTACACCTTCACTACCAGCTGCGCTGAGCTCCTCTTGGGCATGGAGGGGGATTTATGGCCCTTTCATTCCTCCTAGGAGCTACCCCTTCACGTCTCCCCCCCTTTTTTTCTTTTTTCTTTCGTTTTCTTAAGAACAAAAAGAAATGAGAGACCAAGCCATGGAGTCCCAAATCCATGAAACTGCTCCTCTGGGCCCCTTTCTGTAGCAGCACCATGTTACCGGACCATCCTTTGAACCTTTCCAACGCCCTTTTTCTTTTGCGGGTGACATTTTGTTGCATGCTCCTGATACTGAAGCTCAGTCTGACTCCTTTGACACATCCAACCTCCGCACATTTTTGATTATGCTTTAGGCTTCTCCCCCATAACGGTGCGACGGTTTTCAGATCGCTCGCCCACCTCAGAATGGACCACTTCCGGTCCTGCATCTAAATAGCCATGACCTTTTTCTGATGACTACTTTGAATGCCTCTCACTCAGAAAAGACCAATGCGACAGTCCTACGTATCACAGTACACAATAGTATCAGCAAGGCACTCCTACACCATGTTGGTCGAAATATTTCATTTCATGTTCTCAAGAGCGGTACATGCATTGTCACAGTACAAAATGCTAGCTAAGTTCACGATGCTATTGCTGTAACAATTCAAAAACACCATTCTCTCAATTCCTGTAGTGGTACCGTCATTCTACCTCATACCATTGTTCAGTGTAATTTCCAAGCATGTCGTGACTACATTCTGGAACTGCTTCAGCTCCAAGATCTCCCAAGTATACTCATAGGTACCGCTTGCCTGCAGGCGGAGACGCTAATCCTGCAATGTAGTTCGCTTAACTTTTGACTGCTGTGAGCTTCCGTCCTCGGTTTATATCACAGGACACCGTTTACAAGTCCGAATTTGATTCCTACACCACAACAATGTTGAAATTGCTAGTGTTTTGGCCATCCAACGATATATTGCAGGTCCATGGCAGAACGCCCAGTCTGTGGTGCCGACGACCATACCAATACATCTTGTAGTCTACCTCCCTTTAGCCTAATTGTAATGAAGCTCACCCATCTTATTCTCATCGTTGCCAATTTTACTTAAATGAAGAAAAACCGTTTTCTAAGAGACAGTGGGGCTTTACTTATGCCATAGCAGTCTCTCCTCTACGGCTACAGGGAAGACTTCCCTGTATTTCTTATTCTCGAGTTACTAAGAGGCCCCAGCCTCTGGGATCCTAACTCCCACAGTCCCCTGCGGTCACACCTTCCACAGTCACATCTCTGTCTAACTCTTTTGCAGTCCTGGACTCCAAGGTCCCTACCTCGTCACCTCATACTATTCTTACATCTTCATCTTGCTCACAAATTTCTGTGTCTACAAGACCTCGCACAACAGCTCCTCCCTTTAGCCCCTCTACTTCTCCAAAGTCCAAAAAAATCCCAAAAGGGTAAATCTCCTTCACTTATCCTTCCCGGACATTTTTCCTTTCCAGTCTCTGTACCTGGTTCTTTACCTTTTACTAGCTTTGTTACGAGTGTAGAGGTTCAAGACCCCCCCCCCTTCGTACAGTCTCTTCCTTTCCTGTCCTCTCCCAAGTTTCTTCCTCTTCTGCCCCTTCTCAGGTTTCTTCTTCTCCTGTCCCCTTCCAAACTTCTTCCCAAGTTAACTTCAGCCTTTTGTCCTTCCCCCTACTTTGGTAACTTCCATCGTTGTCCCGATCTTTACTCACCCTCCCCCTTCTATCTCCGATGTCGTCCCACATACATCTTCCTTGTCCTCTGAAACACTTCAAGCTGTGTCCGAATATATTAAGGAGACTAAACCACTGATGGACACTGATCCACCTCCGGTCGCTACTCTTCACTCTTCTCCACCTGAATAACTCTTTTCTTCCCAGCATTCCAGTCCTTCGCTGCTTACTCGTTTTCCACTGCCTCCACATGTGAACTTTACTAAGCCTTCTACACAAATAACCTGTGCGTAGGAGAGGAGCTTACGACGACGTTTCGGTCCGACTTGGACCATTTACAAAGTCACACTAACAGAAAGGAGATGAGGCAGTGCATATAGGCCAGCAGACAGCGACGGGACAAGAGAGCTAGTAGAGGAAGATGAGAAGTAATGGTAGAGGTAGTACTAATAGTAGTAGTGGAGTCAGGCAAAGGGTAAGAAAGAGGAGCACTGCAAGGGAGCTAGGGGCTCACAAAGGGTAGGAACAAGAACACAGAGAGGGGAAAATAATAATGGACCAAATACCCAAGGCAAAAGAAAGAGAACCCAAAGGAGAAAAAGGAAAGGGGAAGAGAGAGAAGGGGGAAACAAGAATCAGGTTAAGCCACTGGTGTTCTAAAGTTTTGAGCATTTTACAGTGTAGTGGGAAAGAAAGGCATCTATTGAGACGAAGCCAGGACTAAGATTCATACGAGGTAACTTGTGTATAAGGGAGGATTCGACCAGACGGCGACTGTGAAAGTTAAAAGCAGGGTAGACAGTTTTAGCAGAAGACTGGTCAATAGGATGACTGTGATCTCTGACATGACAGAAAAAAAGCATTGTTGGTGTCGGCAAGCCTAACACTACTTTTGTGCTCCCTAAGTTTGTCAGAAAGAGAACGGCCAGTTTCTCCAAAATATTGAAGAGGACAAGATGAACAAGAAATAGACTAGACACCAGGATGACTGTGATCTCTGACATGACAGAAAAAAGCATTGTTGGTGTCGGCAAGCCTAACACTACTTTTGTGCTCCCTAAGTCTGTCAGAAAGAGAACGGCCAGTTTCTCCAAAGTATTGAAGAGGACAAGATGAACAAGAAATAGACTAGACACCAGGAGAATCTATAGAGGGAGGAGAGGTATGAACTAGATTGGTGCGAAGTGTGTTAGTCTGGCGAAAAGCAAGTTTGATGTCTAACGGAGAGAGTTGTTGAGATTAGAAAGACTGGAAATATAGGGAAGGCAGAGGACAGGAGAGTTCCTAGGAGTAGAGAGTTTGGGAGAGAAGAAACTCCATTTAGCACGTGAGAGGGCAGAGTCTATGAAATGGGAAGGGTGGCCCAGACGGGAAAATGAATAACGAAGAGTGCAAATTTCTGATTCAAGGAACTGAGGATCACAAATGCGGAGAGCACAAAAAAAAGAGGGAGATAAGAACACTTTTCTTGACAGAAGAAGCATGATAAGAAAATTAGTGAATATACATGCCACTGTGCATAGGTTTGCGGTAAACGGAAAAGGCAAAACCTGTAACTGAACGGTGGATATGAACAACAAGGAAAGGAAGCAAGGAATTAGATTCCCATTCAGCTTTAAACTTAATGGAAGGGGCAAGATTATTAAGGGTATAAAGAAATGGTTGAAAGAGACTAGAGTCATGAGACCAACGAGCAAAGATGTCATCTACATAGCGGAGCCAAAGTGAACTGCACACATCAGTAGTAGGAATAAGAGCAGTCTCGTAGTATTCCATGTAGAGATTAACAAGAACAGGTGATAGACGAGAGCTCATAGCCCGAAGATACCTATTGCTCCATATTTCCTGTATCCTTCTCTTCACAAATCATGGCTTATTTACAGTGGAATATTCGAGGCCTCAGAGGTAACCAGGGTGAGCTTCAGGTGTTGCTCTACCAGTTTTCCCTTGTTTGTGCTTGTTTACAAGAACCCAAATTACGCTCTGCTGTTATCCATCCCATCTTGGGCTTCGTTTTATTATATTCATTGGAGCCTTTTCCCAATGGAACCTATAATGAAAGTGCACTTCTTGTATGCATCAGTATACCATACTGTCAAATCTTTGTTTATACTTTGCTGCATTACAC